TCCTCAATTTTAACTCTCAAAACGAGTAGTAATTTGCAATTTCCTAGACTTTAAAAAAAACTAATAATTTAGTATCTTGATGGGTTGTTATGCGCTTAATGGATCGGATATAACTAGACTAAAAAAACGAAAACGAAAACTAAAGTAGGCCTATTATATTGAATTATAGCAGCCTGAACACTATGCATCATTTAAATAGGCTACTAAAGAATTGGTGTAAATACCTGCATTTATGTGTGATCAAATGTGTTGCTAAATTGCAACCGGTTTTCACTCATATAGAAGCTTTGGTTTTTAACCTTAAATGTTCATTTTTATGTTCGTGTACGAGTTCAATGTAGGCCTATTTATTTATTATGAATTGACAACCTTCTAATGAAACGAGAAGACATCTGTACTGGCCCGACGATGACTCCTATGTGAGTTGAAAACGGTTGTAATTTAGCAACACATTTGATTGCATAAATGCAGATATTTAGACCAATTCCTTAGTAAAACTAAAGATTCCCATGTTATTCTTATGGAGATTCGGTTGAACTGTTGTAGTATGCTTGTTTTGGATTGTTTTTACCAACACATACATAGGCCTACACACATACATCTCATACATCAGAACAACTAGGTTATAAAAACTCACCTCCCCATGACTCTGAACGCTTGATCCACGAGCAGTAGTCATTGCTCGGACGCCCTAATATAGCTTCGTTGTATGTATCTGTGTCAGTAGATACAGCCTCAGCAATGATCTCTCGCATGTGACTACCGCAGTTAGTGTCAATTTTCCCTGGAAGGAGACCATTAGGCCTATCAGTTAGCGAAAACATGAAATAATAAAATTAATGCCATCGAGGTCACAGGCAAAAAGTAAAGAATTCAATCTGGGATTCAGTCTCTAGAACCTATACAACCTAGGCCTAAAAAATCTTTAAGTAGGCTAACACACAATGTAAAGAAGTATGTAAAGATAATGTATTAGCCAGAACAATCGGCTTTTGTCAATAACCTAGGATTTGATTTTGTATAAAAATGTAAGTTTAAACTGCAGACTGCCTTGAAGAAAATATAGGCTATAAAACTGCAAAATTCCATATAGTCTACTAACTTAGTACCCAAATATCACCGTTTTCAAGTGTGTTTAGCGAATTTTCTATTAAGGGAATAAGCTATTACCGAAGTTCTCATCTATTAAATTGAATAATTTATCTAACTTATTTATTCATAAAGCGGTTATAACCAATAAAGTGAAAATAACTTAATTTGTAATATGGCACATGTAAGCTACATTAGCCTAGCCCTAGAAGATACGAGGCACACATTTGCAGTGAATTAAGATGGTTTTAAGTTAACACGTTCACTGCGGCCCACCAATGAGCGTTGAGCGAACCCACTTAGCTTTCAAATATGGTATTTTAATTTGACGAATAGTAGGCTAACCTAAATGACGTGTGGTGATGTGCTGTATTACAATGATAGTAATCGTAGTATTCTAAATCACTCACAGATAGCAGCACTAAACTTAGTTGTCTAGAACTAACCGGTCCCATTGTAATTGCCAATTGGAGGGAGAAAGGCGGAACAAGTTGATTTCTAGGTTTGCCAGAGGAAGATTTTGCGGGAAAATTTACTAGCCTACTAACCTACACCACAATAAAGCACCTAATTAATCCTTGCTAAACGAGAAATAAAAATAGGCCTATCTGTTCTTCCCGGTGTGCTGTTGCGCAGAAATTGAATGGAATGTAGGCAATGCTGGTACTCATCGGTGAGTGGCTTGCAGCGAACGTGTTAATAGGCCTAGGCCTAAGTTAATACCTAGGGGCTTGGGCCTATCTTATTTTCTATCTGCAACAATTTAGTTAAGTTTAGGCCTACAGTAGTTTGTGTTTCCCTGGGCCATTGAAGTTTTTTAACGTTTTTAGAAAGGAAACGGCCTTGCTAGATAAGTTGGTATATAAGCGACAAATGGCATCTGGGGCCAGAATAACTTACTTGCTTGGAATCGAACCAGCGACCTTAGGATTTTAGTGAACAATAAGTTATAACACTCTCAGCAAACCAGGCAATTGTTTGACATTATTACGACTCAACGTACTTACCTGATAGCACAAATCCTATACTAGTGAAAAGGCAAGAGTTGTCCGCAGGCACAACTTTCTTGAGCAGAATTCCGGGACTATTCATCTGGCTTTCAGAAATATGACGCCTAGCTTCACTGTCATCCCAAGTTTTTTTCTCTTCTTTCTCCATTGGACGTGAAGTCGGTTTTTCTTCTACAATAAGAATATCACCAGAGTTTATGCCGATACTTTCAACAGTTTTTGCTTCATCACTCAAATCCACTTGTTTGGGTGGAAAGCCAGAAAGCACATGAAGGCTTTTGGTGGGGATGTTTGCAACTCTTGAAAGTTCTTCTTTCAAAAATGTTATGCTCGATGAAGAGCTAATACTTTTTAAAACTTCTTGGCCTTGTTTAGTTTTAACTTTCAAAAGTAGACTAGCCATATTGAAGCAAGTCTATCCAAACTTTAGGTAGGCCTAGCTCAAAAGTAGTACAGTAATGTCTAAATAATTTAACAGTCACTATCACAAGTTAAAAGAGAGTAAAAGAAATACTACACATACAATAATCAAAAACTTAACCTAGGATTTAACTAAACAAACTAAACAGAATTTGTAATTTGTTGTTGTTGGTTCAGTTTAGTTTAGTCTATAACTGAAAAAAAGCAAAAAAAAAGATAAACCAAATAAACCAATACAGTACCAAGCACAAACCCACGCTACGCTGGCTACGCTACACCACGCGCAACGCTGCTAGTCACTCACTCAGACTCAGTCAGAGTCAGACTCGTTCACTCATTCTACTACCACAACTACAACTACTAGGAATGGGCACACGGGAGGGACTAAGGCTAAAGGTGTAGTGACGTCATATCCCTAGTGGGTAATTTGTACTCTTGAGGCAACAGGATTACCGTAACGAAACGAAGTGTTTTCAGCGGCGTTCGTGGCATAGTTTGTAGCGGTTTGATTTGGTATTCAGGAGGTCCCGGGTTCGAATCCCGCTGGTAGCACTAACTTTTTGTCAACAAATTTTTCATATCAGCAAGTTTGGTTGGTTAAGTTAGGTTATGACAGTTTAATTTTATAATATTAAATTTTAAAATTAATTTTATAATTTATTAAAAATTATAAGTAATCATTAATACGATTTTTGTCTTATACAGTTTTTATATTATCAGCAAGTCTGGTTGGTTAGGTTATGTTGTGACAGTTTTATTTTAAAAATTAAAAATTTAGTTTATAATTTTAAAACAATATTTTATAGTTAAAAAGTTAATTTCATAACTAAAAATAAAAAAAATTAAATTTTTTCAACTTAGCGGTTCTAGCGGCGAACGCTGACACTACAAGATATGTTAGCCTTAGTCCCTCCCGTGTGCCCCACCGACAACTACTACCTTTATACTTTTACTTCTCTACTAAACGACTACACCTTTGAGTACATATATCGATATATGTATATACTCAATGACTAAACTAACAAATAACGCTCAAAAACTTGTTTCTTTAATCTAATACTCTATCAAAATCACAGACTATAGCTTGATAGAATACTTAATCATTGATATAGATTATAATAACTGGAGTCACTACTCTCTGGGGCCCATTTCATAATAAGCTACCTACAAGTTACAACTTGTAACTTGTAATTTCCATTTAGGTTTGCATTGGGTGATCAGCTGATTTTTTAATAATATTAGTTTGTACTTTATTATGAAATTGGCCCTGGTTGAACATTAGAAAAAAACATGCCACTGATTTTGCTTGTTTTTTATCGTTGTTTCGTGTTGTTATGTTGGCCATATGATCGGCTGGTGGGGTGCTGTCAAATTCGATTCATTCTGACTTAACCACGCTATATGCTTGGGGTTATCCGTCATTTGACGGACTTCAACTTATTTAAGTTTTTTAAAGTTAAAACCTGTGTATCTATTTAAAGTTATTTTTAAACATTATTCATTGTTTTTTATACTAAATTCCAACTTATTTTCCTATTTTCAAGCTATGATTAATGATGAAAATAGTCAAGTTTCCTGGTTTGGAGATATTGGTATAGGCTTGGGTTTAGACCATTGGGATGAATGTTTTAGCCCTATGGCATTTGATTGAAGAACTAGGTAATGCCATAATGTTAGTTTTTTTTGCTAAATAAATAAACAATAATAGTAACGTAAATAAATAAACTTATTATGGAATCTTAATATTGTTGACATCTTTTTAATTGCCATCATAGATAAAACATACACTGGTTAGTCTATGTTGCCATCAACAAAAAAACAGGATGACGCCATCTTGCCTCTAGTAATTTGACAAGTCCCACCAACCTATCACCCGGCCAACCTAACAACACAAAACTCAAAATAAAAACCAGCAAAAACAGTGGCAAAAAGGTTTTTTAAACACAGAGTGTTGACTCACACACAACACAAAAGAAAGTTAAATTTACAAAAAACTGTTTTTGGAAAATGGTGTTTTTTATAAAAAAAAAACTTTTGTAACATAATTGTTTCCACTCTTCAAGAGTAATGTTATTAATAATTTAGGCAAATATTGAATTCCTTGTTTGGATAACAATTAATAAAGCACTTACTGTACACAATTATTTTCTATTTGTAGAGTGTTGATCGAACATTACTATTGCTATATATTTTCAACACCTTTATAATGTACTTAAGATTGTAAATATTGTTTTTGCAAATGTTTAGTTACCACTTCAAATTGTATAATGTCATAAATAAATACATTGAATTGAAAGCATTTGGAATTTGCTTACTATGTAGATTTTCTGCAAGGAGGGTATTTAAGATTGTCATTAGTTCTTCCCCGTAGTTTCTAGATTGCAAACCAGTGTGAGCTCTGTGTGATTTGTGCTTTGTACAGTTATTGGTAAAATTAATAAAACTTCTATCACTAAATTCCTAGATGTATAGGTAGAAATATACAGGAGAACACAATTTTTCTTTATAAAAATAAAATTGACATTACATTACAGAGTAAACTATATAAAATGCACCTCCCAAAACAGTAAAAACTCCCACAGCTGGGCCACAAAACTTGAGCAACTTTTTCCAAATTGTCCCGCCTTTTTTAGTTGATAGCTTGAAACTCTTGACTGTTGTCGTACCAATTGTTTTGTTAGTAGTGTTCAATGGTCGGATGGTAGTGGTGTTTCCTATTGCGCTAATGTTAGCGGTTGTATTCTGTGTGTTTATTTCTGTTGTTGGTAAGACTGTAGTATCAGAAGTATTTTTGACTTGTGGTAAAATATTGGATTCTGCTCCTTCTATGTCCACAATTGGTGAAGATCCTTGGCGATTCTTTATTTTACCGCTGTTTATTACTTCTTGTACAGCCTCATTTCCTTCTTTGCAAGGAGGATCATTAGCCTGTCTTCCTTGAGTATGTCTCGAATGATTGGTCAATCTTGAAGAATCTCTAGTAAGCATTTTTCCATTAGGTTCCGAAGAAACACTTCTTGGGCTTGCAAGTTGAAAATGATATTTTTTTGTCTCTTCGGCAATCATATTTTTAACTTTGTTTTTCCACTCCGCTTCTTTATTTATAAGATCATTTGCCAGATTGCTATTTCCATCTGAAACCATTTTTTTCTTTACTTCTTCAGTAACTATGGATTGAATTGTGTTTTTTAGTTGATCCTTTATATTTTTAAATTCTTCCATACGATTTTGTATCAAAGTATTAGTTTTTGTATCGATTTGATCTTTTATATTCTTTTTAAATTCTTCAGATACTATTTTTTCAATTAGTTTTTCCATTTTAGCCTCTTCAGTTTTGGAATCATTTGCCAGACTTTCATCTGGTTTTAAACTTGTTGGTTTATTTGGTTTTTGACTTTTTGCACTTTCTTCATCACCACTTCTGTTCAAATTGGATAGCTGACCCTGTGTTGGCGCAAAGGTCGGTTTGGTTGTAGTATGATTACTAGTTTCTTTTTCTTCCTTGTTTATGGGCATTGTCGTTGAATTCTCCTGGTTTGGCTTTTCTGCTCTCGAACCTATATCAGCATCTCTCTTTTCTTTTGTATTGTATGTTGTAACCAAAGCAATCGGTGGTCCTTCACTATAGGAATCTGCGACAGTAAAATTTGAGTCTTCTTCAGATGGCACTTCAAACAATTGTTGGGATCCATGAAAAGCAAACACCATAATCACAAATACTAAATCCAATCTCCCCATCATTATCTAAAACAAAGAAAATAGAGCACTTTAGTAAAATGACGCAATTGGTTATTTTATAACCGATTTTCAAAGTTTAAGCAAATTATTAAACACTACTTAAAAATCTCCTCTAAACTGTTCTTGAGCTGGTTGTGTTGAAACTTAAATTAACTCCAGCATAATTATAGTTTGCTTAAGGCTTTAAATTTCTGCTTTTTGCTTTGAATGAACATCAAGCAATTGTTATCAAATTTGCAGTTTGTGTTTCACATACATATAAGTACATAGAGTGTATGAATATAAACCAAAGTAAATATTTGGTTTTGGCTTGGTTTACATGGCTCTTAGTGTACACCAAACAGCTGATTGGATATCAATACAGTTAATAAATTATTTTATTTTTATTTTCAAACTCATTTAGTACTTTTATACTGTAATTAAACAAGTCTTACGGTCAAATAGTCACACAGCCTGTGTGATTTACTATTTGACTGAAGGGGTGTCTAGTTTACAAAAATCATTAAACTGGAACAGAAGGTGAAGTCTTTAGGAATGGTTGAATCTAACGTAAGATTAAGAATCTAAGACGAATTTGGAATTTGGGGTGAATTTGGATTTTTGTGTGTGGTGTTTAACAATGCATTATAAGACAAATTTTGATGGATGATAAATGAAATTAATAGCTCCTACTAAAAGGCACTTTGATGATATTTGTAAGGAAAAATAACCCTTCTGTCGTAACTGGGTTGAAATACATGCATCCTATTAAATATATTTATTATAATATTGTTGGTATTTTACCTCAGATATTTACTTTGGCGATTAGACTCAACACTAGATTACTTTTTACTGATACATATTTTTTTTAAAAATCTGAAATATGTCTCATCATATCAAACTAAAATGTCTAACTGAAGAGTCAAAAATTGAAAATAATATATTTTTTACCACAGGGTGTTTTTATTTGTGCAATTTAAAAGAATAAATTAATGTCACCTTAAATTTTGGTAACAATATTCTGTTTTAACCACTTTTTCACCCTTTGATAGCGTTGATCTACCTACCAAAAATTAGCATGTTTCTTATAATTTTCCGATTTTTCTCTGCCATAGGATACATTTTTTGCCAGATAAAGTACTGATACATACTCGCATATTAGTGCATACATACTCGCATCTTTGTCATAACATTTTTTGTTTTAATCCCTTCAGAAATTCAAAATGGCAGATTTATGAAAATACCTGTTAACGAACGGTGAGTCCTATCACAAACAATAGACAATTAATTGGTCTATAGTCTGTGGTCGTATCTAAAAATGGACATCACTGTCCTCTGTAATTTTTTTAAACAAAAAATAACTTGTATTACATTACTATGGTAATGCATTTATTTCTACAATAGTGTTATACCATTTGTGTAAGACATTATTTCGGGCATAGTAGGAAGCAAAGTCTGGAAATGAAATTTTAAAAAAAACTTTCCGACAGCTGAGGCATAATTCAAATTACGATAAACTGATTGTTCCTTAATTCACCGAAATCGACATCAATTTAGAATAACTTAAGTTTTGAAAAGATGCCACAAAGAAGATGTCCCAGTTAGCCTTTTGAAAGTGTAAGAAAGGTACGCGAATAAGAGTGTGTGTATGAAGTAGAGATACGTTTGATAAATGCATTATATCCTACAGAGTTAATGTTAACTGGTCTCCACAAAAAGTTGATATCTTTGCCGACAAACAATTTTCTGCTGGGACATTTCAAGTCACAAGTCTACGCTGACAGCCCACAGACTCCACAGAATCGGAAGTCAGCATCTGTCGTGTCATTGCCGGAATACACCCTCAGCTGTAGGGAAATGTGTTTAAAAATCACATTCAGACTTTGCATGAGCATGTTATGCTGTTGATATGCCCAAAATATTGTTTAAACACAAATGATATAACACTGTTGAATTGACATATTGTAGTTCTGCAAGATATTTTCCTACCACTCCATGGAAATTATCACATTGCCCCATCTGTAAACAGTACACCAAATAATTCATTTCCCCTCTAGAGCGGGAATGCATCATTCCCGCTCGCTTAATCAGCTGATATCACAGTTGGTGTTTCTATACCAACCACAGCCACAGACCCGGTACTTTAACAACTGGTAAGCAAATAACTTAATCCAAAAAAAGCAAACATAACCTAAATGAAATTTTATATACAACTAAAAAGTTTATCCGTTTGTTATGATAAGTAAATTATGGTGGTAGGAAAAATCTTATGGGTATTATGTGCTCAAATAGCCATTACCGCTCTCAAAATGTATAGACACACTCAGCTAAAGCTTTGTGCGGTCATCTAGTTCTTGAACGGCAATGACGTACTTTGCGCTCTTAATACATAGATACCGAACCTATTAATAGCTAAGGTATCTAAGTATCAACTAGCTAATTCTATCGTTTTTCTTTTCATAATTGCACCACTAAAAACATTCTGTATGGTTATTTATTTGATTTTTTGTCAACTATTTATTTCAAATTTCAAATTATATTATATTAGATTTGATTAGGGTTAAGAAAATTTTTTTGTGAAAATGTAATTGATGAACTTAAGTGTATTGTTTGACTTAAAAACCCTGACTTAGACATTGTTGAAAGAAAACCGCAAATAAAAAAATGGCAATGGTCACTAAAATAAAAAATAATCCACCCATAATGTAAACCATTATTTTATTTTCCAATGCACTGTTCTAATACAAAGTGCATTGTTCAGACAACTTACACTCATCTATGCTACAATTGACATTTCATTTGCAGTTTTTCATACTCCAAACAAATCAATAACCTAATAAACATTTCTTTAATTGGTGACCCCTTGGGTTTGGAAGGTTCATAAAGCTTTTTAACTTTGACACTTTTAGATTCTAGCTGTTCTTCTTTTGTGTGGATTTTTGATTGTTCAGTTCTGTTTCTAATTGTCAGCTTTTCTGTCGCATTTGTCAGTTTCTTGGTGGTCACTTCAATGGCAAGAAGTTTGATAGTTGTATTGTCAGTAGCTTGAGTTTTGTCGAAGGTAAACTCTCCATAAAGTGATTCATTGTGCTGTGGTGGAATCGTAATTCTGTGGGTAGTCAAAAGATCTGGAGGATTTTCGAGCTCCTCAAGTGGGATATCGCCTCTTTGAGAGTTAAGTTGGTTGAGAATCATCATAACGATTGTTGCTTTTAAAAGGGTTTTTGCAGACATGATTTTTAATTGTGATACGCCTGAAATTAAACCGACAGTTAATGCTCTTTCTAATAAGAGTTCAAGCTTATTTATTCACATTAAACTTGTTGACTCAGTGAAAAAATCCTATTTCAGCTGATTACTGTGAAACAATAAAAATAGTACTTTATTTACATTACTTGTCTGTTTCAATAGAGAGTGAAGTATACAATTTGAACATCAATTAAGAATGTGTCTTCTCAAACTAAAGTTTTCTTCTTTTAATTTCACTTTGAATGATGACCATTATTGTAACCATAATTTAAACAAACTTTACCACCGAACACACATATTTCCTCCCAGTATAGCTTGTCTTAACACCCTTATAGATAGTTAAGCGGTGGGAGTAGCTATATTTTTAGTAACTGATATTTTACGGGGATAATCACAAAAATTGCAATAACATTTGCAACATGTATTTATAGCATTTTTCGTACCATCAAAAGTATATTCTAAATGTTAATCAAAACCGTACAAGCCATTTTTGTAAAAATTCAATTTTTTGTTATTTTACGGAAAAACAACAATTAAAAAGTGCCTGGAGATACCAGGTAGTAAACCTACTGAATTACCAAATTACGTCAAAATTAGACTAGCTCTAGACTAGAATTACTTGCTCTGTACATATTCACAACAGTGTCTCCACACGAACAAAACCAAAATCCCGCTTATTATTACTATGTTTCACTGGGAGGAAACACATTTTTTGATATTCAAAGAATCCCTGAACCATCAGATTAACTTATACATTGTACTTACTTAACAAGACGTGTACTAGGCAAGGTAGTCTTGTTCGAGCCACCCAAAAAAGCATTGGATACTCTCTGTGGTTTCTTTGTTAAATGCCACGCTTTAAATCGTTTAAGTGCGTTTAAGTGTTAAATTATTAGAAAAATTAAACAACAGTGGGTTGTGGATTGAGTGTGTAGATTTCAGAGACACCTAGCAGTGACTAAGCAAACAGTCTCGGGATTCTTAGACTGTGTGGGATTAAAACGGGAAATTTGGCTCTTAGCATTGACCTTTTATACGCATTCTAGATTGAATCCACAGCGTTTCAGTTAGATATAAAGAGCTATTGAGACATGATACATCTTAAAGATCACTCGAGATGGAACGGGAAAATTCATGCGGGAAAGCACGGAAATTTCCTGACGCGGTAAGCGGGATTTTTCTATGGTTGAGTGGAGAGTGGAGACTCTAATGGTGGCAAGCATTCATATTTACTCGGTTATTATCTTGAAAATAGGATTTTTATAATGTGGGATTAAAATTAGATGCGAAATGAAACGGGATTTTTGGCAGGCAGTGGGACCATCAGGCTCATGGTCTAAAAATACAGTTTTAGGAGTTATAATACCGTGTATGGAAACACAGTTCCACACACACACACTCAGACATAACTTCAAAACCTCTTTTTGGGTTGCAAAAGGTTTAAAACGGATATTTCCACTGAAAACTGACTTAAACAAGTTTAATTAAAACAATTGGGTCTACTAATTCCGTCAACTAATGTATAGGGAGAGAAAGTAAAAAAATGAATGCATAATGTGATGAAAACAGTTTGAAATATTTTAGTATTTCATTTATCTATATTCATCAACTTATACTTTGTCTATTTACTGTGTGTATGTATTTAAACACGTTTTATGCTCAGTTGGTACCAATTATTTTTTTATTTACGATCATTATATAACCACATTTTCTTCACAGGTGATTTTTAATACTTTAATAACTAATCCATACAATACCGCAAAATAGTACTAAAATAATGTACACAAATTTATGAGGCAAGAGTACTACAATTTAAATTTACACATCTTTCATACATTGTTTTATGTAAAATATGTCCTGACATCAAAAAAACTGTTTAAGGATAATTTGAATTTAGAGATAGATTCTGGTAGCTTGCATATCACATAGTATGTAAACCAACTTAAAATTGTAGACAAAGTTGAAAAATGTCCTTCCACATTTAATGACAATAGAACCACCCTCATAATATACATTTAAAAGGGAAGTAGATGTAAAATATTAAAAAAGTCTTACATTTCACGAGCTTAAGAAAACTTACCATAGGCTTTGCACATCCAAGACCAAAGAGTGCTTTAGAATGGCCCTCTCACAATTTATTACATAACTAATGTCACTGTTCATTTATTTGAAAGTGATTTGCTATATCATCAATAGCCTGGATATCGTCTTTCAGCAAATTAAGGCACTCATTAACTAATTCAGCAGTTTTGTAAGAATTGATGTGATACCCAAAGTGTAGTTAGGCTTTATAGCCACAAGCTAAAAGCTGTCTCCTGTTCCTTCGTCTACCTGGGATTTGCCCAAACTCTGCACCACTTCCCTTTGACCTAATTACTCACCCTTTAAACTTCCCCACTAGCTTCAGTAACTTTTTATCCGAGTCATAATATCCAAAATTTTAATATTTGAGGAGTATAAAATAAATAATATAAGATCATCGATCGTAAACAAGGACAAATTTGGTTAAGAAACAACCAGTAGAGTATAGATTTTTTCTTACCTCCATATTTATTTTCACCTCTTTAGTGTCTAAACTGTATTGTATACAAGTAAAAATATTTTTACTGCGGACAAACAATTAATTATCATTTATGCACTTTGGTAAACTATGTATTGGAAATTATTGTGTTAAATCATTTGTTTTATTGATGATTTAAAAAAAGTGGCAACTAACAAATAAACAGCAAATAAACAAAAAACGGCAATTAAACATTATTAAGAAAAAAAAGGTATTTCTATTTTCCTTATGTTAATTGTTTAGTTTTGCCAAGACCAGTAAAATGATACCAAACTCGACCATACTGTACTTCCTATTTGAACATTTTGAACTACCGGTACCTCCCACCACCACTGCTAAAGGCAAAATTTTCAAAATTAATCATCATTCTTCTAGCCCTTCATATCTAAACAGGTTGCCGCAAACCCATTTCAAACATCTCAAATAGTTAAGAAGTTAAGGGGGTGCAAGTTGATTTTCAGCCACCCTCATGGTTATTTTGATTTGATACATTTTAGGGCGCCCTTTTGTTATCACTGGTCCGATTTTGGTTTTCTTCATGTCAATTGCTTAGTTTTTTCAAGAACTGTAAAATGATACCAAACTCGACTATACTTGCCATTTGAAAATTTTGAGCTACCTCCTACCCTTGCTGAAGGGCAAAATGTTCAAAATCAACCATAATAAATTGTAGCCGCTCATTTCTAAGAAGGTTGCCGCAAACCGATTTCAAATATCTCATAAGGTTCAAAAGTTACAGGAAGCAAGTTACTTTTCAGCCACCCTGTATAATTATTTGAAGTTATGTGAATGAATATGTCTTTATAAAATCTAAGTCTAGATAATTTTCTATTAAGTAGAATATCCAGGATTTTCTATGACCAGTGTGTGGTCAAGCCAATATAAACTTTTTTTTATGTAGTAGTATATAGTAAAATAGTAAAATAAATGTAGCAAAATAGTAAATTATTGTTATTTAAATTGATAACTAATTTGTAATTTTGTTCTATAGGAAAGTCAATGAACACTGATTAAAAAAATACTTTATTAAAGTCTATATACATATACACAATTAACATATCAATAAATAAAAACATTCACTAATACTACTAATGATCCAGCCTTGTTATAATACAAAAGTGAAAAACATGAGGAATGACACTATTTATCATTCCAAATACAAGACCAAAATGTGCAATGGAAACTATGTCTGTTTATAATTTATACATTCTCATTTCGTTATTATTGTTATAATACTTATTTATTATTGAACTGTTGTTACCTTAGCCTTTGTTCTTGCAGAAAGATGTTAAAGGCTGAGGTAAAAACAGTTCAATAATAAATATTCTAGTTCTTGCCACTGGGAAATACACCAAATAATCTTTGTTATAATACTAACTAACACCCATTAAATGTATTGGGCTGACATTGTACATTTTTATATATAGTTTAACTTGGGCATAAAAAAATAGTGCATAATTTTATTTATACATTTTAGAAGTCAAATCTATTTGCTTCCATAATGATGATTTATTAAAATTGTAGGAATATAAACTGTCATAAAACTATTACGTTTAGCTCAGAAGGTTTATTTTTAACACAACAAAACGTCAATAGTCTTTAATTTTATATTACAAATATATGATGTAAAATATTAAGTAATTGTCTAATAGATGTCATATAAGCAAACTCACCAAAAGAAACAAAATTAAATAAACATGTTAATTCAGTCATAAGATCATTTTATTTTTGTACCTGGTTATTTATACTTATAACATCTATAACTCTACTAAATGTTTGATTTGTGTTATGACATGTGTTATGTTACCACAATTGTTAAGTTGGACAATTTTTATAAATTAATAAGAAAAGTTCTACCTACAAGGTTAATATTTCATATCAGATCTCATTCAAATATTTATTCTCTTCTGAGAACAAAGTAACACCCAGTTAATAACATGTATGAACATTTAATTTACTTAGGTTTTGTTTAAAGCAGCAGGTAATTTAAAATGTTGACATGAATAAAACTATACAAAAACTGTTATTTTATGTGATGATCTTCAACTAATACGATACAATAGTAATTCTGAATACCCTTTTTGTCCTGATTGCTTACCTCATTTCAAAACAACTCATTTTAAACTATCTTTTAAATGCAGTACTGGTTATTACTAAGAGTAGGGTTGTTAAAATGATAACATTTAGCCTACTGATAGAACCCGCAGAACTTGCAGGAGTTGTGAAATCTTGACTAGACATAGACTGAGAAGATTGAACAGACCCGACAGTGAAGGCCGATGTCGTTGATGGTAGAGTCGAGGGAGTTGAATGATGTTCGGTAAAAGGTTCTTTTGATGAGGAAAATATCGGTGTCGTACTCTCAGGCTCTATTGTAGGGGTGAAAAGTGGTGTTTCTGTTTCAGTCTGAGTATTTGCTACCTCAGTAGTTGATAATTGAGCAGCAACATTTTCTTGTTCGGCGACGGATGGTTGTGAAGTTTCAGTTTTCTCAGTTGAGGCAGGTTCAGTTGTAGAAATTGAGGATGACGTTGAGAGGGTAATTTTATCTGGTATTTCTGTTGTAGACAAAATTTCAGTTGATGCACTCTCTGATGAACTGAAAATTGTTGATAATGAGATATTCAGCGTTGTTGGTGTTGGTATTGTTGGCAAACCACTGGATGAAACAAAACTCTCTGCTGTAAGTGGGTCCTCTGAAGTTTGAGAAAAGTCAGTTGATATTTCAGGTGGAAAAGTGGATTGTTCAGTTGAGGGTTGCACCGATTGATCTTCAAAAGAACTAGACTCAGTTGTAGTCTCTGTTACTGTTCTTTGATCTTCTGATGAAATCTCTGGATAATATGTTTGATTTACAGTTTCTTCTGTAGACGAGTAAGGAACTTCAGTTTGGCTTTCTTCAGATGAATATTCTGGTGAGGAATTGTAAAAAGAATTTTTTTCAGTCGATGCTTCTGATTCTCCTGAAATGTGTTCCAATGAAGATTGTGGAGCTTCAGATGAAGCCTCTGCGGATTTGTTAGAATCTCCTAAGAGTTGATTATTTAAAGATGACTCTGGTATTGTTGTGGAAATTTCTTGTGAAAGCTCAGATGACACTTTGGGAGATGCTATGGGAAGTTCAGATGGAGATTCTGAGGATGAGTGAGATTCCTCAGTTGACATAACAGGGAGTTCAGATGTATATTCCTGGGAAGGGAGAGACTCTGTGGAAGTTATTAGAGGAAGCTCAGGTGACATTCCTTTTGATATTTGAGGTTCTTCAGAAGACATTGGAGGTACTTGAGATGACAATTCTGTATTTTGTGAATCTGAAGGAGGTAGTGAATGGTTAAATGATGAAGGTGATACTTCAGGCGTATTTTCTGTTGACTCTACATCCCCTCCACCTGATGACATCTGAGGAAAAGTTACTTGTTCCGTGGGATAATCAATAGACTGAGTTGTTGTTTCTTTAGAGATTTTAGTATCCTTAGAAAACTGAGATTCAGGCCATGGTTCAGAAGATTCAGAAGTCTGAGTATAGGATTCTGTAGTGTCGCTAAATGTTTGTTCTGAGGATGAACTGGGATATTCTGAGACATTATCTGGTTCTGTATCATTTACCTCTCGTATAACACGATTTCTTTTCCCCAAAATGTCTTCTATGAGAGATAAATGTGTTGGCAAATTTGTCTCTGCAGGACGATGCAGAGGGTTGGCATCCAGTGGTCGACTCACACCTGCCAACAACATGATCAGCAGCACTCCTATCATCTTTGTGTCAATCTGAAAAATGTTCAACTTTGTTACTAAGCTAGTAGAGAATATCTTGAGAATTTTGATAGTGTTTCCACAACATTTTCATCATTTACTTTTATTGATAATTTTTCTCAATGTTTTTTATAGTTTTACAGGATAATCATACCTAGTTCAATTGCTCATCACAAATTTCAGCTTTTAAATTTAATAGTTAAACATTTAAAACCTTTGTTAGATGTCAGATGAAGAAATATGAGTCAATTGCAATCTAAATAGACAATACTGTCATTGCTTGAATACTGTACAACAATAGGAAATAACGGACATGGTATGTACATATAGGAGAGCTAATTTGATGGTCTGCTGCAGTATTGATGGAATACCTGTTTTTCTGTTAAAGTCTTTGCTGACAATACAATACAGATTTCTGCTGACCACGCTTAAATGGCAGCAACATTTTTGTAGACTTTAGCAATGCCAAACATTGAGCTATGTGCTCAGTTAATCTGGTTTTTTCTCCCCGATTTATGATGTCTGTGACTCAGCTGATTACTGTTGATATTGTTAAAACAGGGAAAAGTGTTTTATTTTGGTGTTTTGGGAGTGGGGAAAATGTTTTCTTTACAAAGCGTATTGAAAGATAACAGTAAAAAATCATGAACACATCTATACTTTTGAGGAATATCAGGTTACTGTCATTAAATGGGGACGAGCTGTCTAGTGATAGAGCACGGGGCTTTTAGCCCGAGGTCCCAAGATCGAATCCCATCAATCTCCTATGGATTTCATCTTTGTGATAATGCTGCAACCCTCTAGGACTAGTTTGAAGAAATGTGTAAAACAGTTCCGAGCTAAAAACTAGCATCCTAGAATATGAAGCAGGGACAACAACAAAATCTGTTATTAAATGGCAAGTGGATTTGTGTCCAAAAGGCTGAATCATTCTTTTT